TTGAATTTCATAAAATGTCATTTAAAAAAATTTGTTAAATATCAGTGTTATAGGCATCTACACTGTTCACCTGTTACACCCTATTTTTTCCAGGTGACAAAAAGTTATCAAGTTTTTTTTTATAGGATAGGGTGACAAACGAGCACACAGTCCACCTGATGGTAAGTGGTTGCTGTGGCCCATAGACATCCACATCTATCCTCGATTACGAATCAAAATGCAGATGCGTTGTCACCCGTGAGGACTAAGATGGAATGCCTCGTTTCCAGTAAAAAGGGTCTCCGGTTCTCTACACTCACCATACGAAATACAGCAGCATTAAGCTACTATTTCACGCTGGTATTCTATGAAGTATTTTGCTGGATTTCTGTCAAGTATATAAGAGGAAGAAATAAGAACATAAGAAGAAGATGATTGCAAATATTCGTTTCGCAAACTTTAAAATCTTGTAGTTAGTGAGGTATGAATACAAGCCTTGACAGACATACGGTACATAAGCGAGTTCCATCCCATTTGTAATTCAAAATTTATATGCTGACTAACGATCCGCCCCGACTTCGCACGACTGTTTTATAGATCTCAACAACAGCGCCACTTACCGAATCCAATTATGAATATGAGTGTTCATCAAAATCGTTCCAGCCGTTTTCAAGTGATGATCTTTCATACATGCGCCAATAGATTTTTTTATATAGATTTACCACTTGCTTAGCGGAAAATAAAACCATCAACTATATTCAACAAAGCTTTATCTGCTTGGATGAAAATATTTCGAAATTATGAAGTTAAAGCAGGATCTTGATAATGTTGTGTGGCCGCGGTATAAAATAATCCACCTATCTATCTATCTATCTATCTATCTATCTATCTATATACTATATAAAATAATATACCTATCTCGTATCAAATAATATTGTATTATTACTTAGAAGCTCTAAGACCCCATACTACACTACAGAGGGAAATGAAAAATTTTGGTTGCCAAACTATGGCAAATATTCCCCCTACGTTCCGCAGTCGACTTTCGAGTGGCTGTAATGAGTTAATGAGTGATAGATAATATCTTGACGAAGCAGAGAGGAAAATGGAGAAAATAGGTTGAATAATTCTTGTAAATAACAAAAAATAATTGTGCGGTGTCTACAAAAATGGCATGTGCGAACCCGATGTGGACCACTGGGACTATACAGATTAATAAATATAAAGCGATAACAAGTAAGCAGACAGTTCATTAACTAACAATACGAAAATAATAGAATGCATGGAAAACTTATGCATTATACATTCGCTACACTCAGCACCACAACAGATTCCTATGACGTTGGAATCGAGGTCACAATAATGCAATCGAGTTGAGGATAATGTTTATACAGACAATCTCTATACCTAAACTCAATCTCAAAGCATTTACTGGCATACCAAGCGCAAAAAATTGGGTTTTGACAATAAGTGTTTTGCGGGCATTGCAAATTTTGGGCATAGGTAAACAATTATCTATTAATATTTTTTGAGATCACCGTGTATTAAATTTATTGACAGGTTTTAACTTATGAGTGATTTGTCATCATCATTCATCATTACAGCCAATCACAAGTCCACAGCTGAATATGGGCCTCTCCCAAGGAATGCCACAAAGCACAGTCTTGAGCCACCTGCATCCATCGACTTTTTGCATGTCTTACTAGGTCGTCACTCAATCTAGTGCGGGGTCGCCCTACACTTCGCCCACCAATACGAGGCTGCCACTAGAGCACCTTTTATCCCCATCGGTTGTCGCTTCTTGGAGCCTTATTGCTGGCTCATTGCCACTGAGCTATATTGCTGGCTCATTGCCACTGAGCTATATTGCTGGCTCATTGCCACTGAGCTATATTGCTGGCTCATTGCCACTGAGCTATATTGCTGGCTCATTGCCACTGAGCTATATTGCTGGCTCATTGCCACTGAGCTATATTGCTGGCTCATTGCCACTGAGCTATATTGCCGGCTCATTGCCACTTCAGCTTACTAATCGGTTGGGCTATGTCGGTCACTCTGGTTCTACTGTGGATATCCTCATTTCTAAGTTTACCACGCAGAGAGACCCCGAGCATAGCCCTCTCCATAGCTCGCTGAGCGAACTTGAGCGTCCTTATACGGCCAGCAGTGAAGCACCACGTCTCAGATCCGTATGTCATCACTAACTAGCAATACGAACTGGTTATACAATCTAGTTCTCAGGTTTTGAGGTATATCTGACGAGAAGATGTCTCGTAATTTCCCGAACGGTGCCCACCCGAGTTGAATCCGTCGATTGACCTCTCGGTCGAAGTTGGACTTACCTAGTCGGACTATTTGTCCCAGGTAAACGTACTCATCAACAACTTCGAGCATAGTGCTCCCAACAACTACCGACATGGACATTAAACATGATCGTTTTGTCCATGGTTTATCTTAAGACCTAACCGTTGGGGGACACTATTGAGGTCATAGAGCATAGTGCTGAGGTCTTCCAGCGATTCTTCCATATAGACTATATCATCGGAAAATCGAAGGTGAGAGATGTACTCAACATTGACATTAATACCGTATTCTTTTCCAGTTCAGTAACTTTAAAACGTCTTGCAATGCAGCGATGAAGAGTTCCGGAGACATAATATCAACCTGCCTTACACCTCTCTGCAGATGGATGAGTTTTGTAATTTGGTTCTGCACTCTGATAGCCATCGTAGCCCTACTGCACAAACACATCATCACTTCGATATACCGACAATCTACTTGGCACCGCTGAAAGGACTGTAGCAAAGCCCAAATTTTGACGGAATCAAAGGCTTATTCATAGTCCACATACGCAAGGCAAAGTGGCAGATTCTACTCTTCGGTCTTCTCTACAATCTGCCGCAGGGTATGTATGTGGTCTATGGTACTGAAGTCTTTTCAGAAACTGGCTTGTTCGGGAGGCTGGAACTCGTCGAGTCTGCGTACGAGACGATTCGTAATGAATCCCGAAAGCAGCACGCAGACGCGGCACTGAAGGGAAATCGGTCTGTAGGCACCCCATGAGCAACGACACAAATGAACGGCCCCCAGTCCCCAGTTACCGCAGTTTTTTATTGTACAATTGATATTATCAGGAAGATATTGCTGCCCTTTTTTTGCCTGTTTCCTTTGTCGCTTTTTACGACATCCACGGGAAGATATGGGGCAGTGGATATTCTTAACCGCCACTACACGGCGTAATTTATAAGTACCTGTTATTCTATAGGTCGAAATAGTTACTTTTTAATGCAATAAAGGCGTTTTATTAGGAATAATTTTAGCTTATTATTAAATGGTTGCCCCATTTCCACTTTTACTTCCATTTCCATTTGGTTTTATTTTTAATTTTTTAAACCAGTTAGTATAATGGCCTCAAACCAAATTTCGGTAACGGCGGCCAGCCTTAACGGAGACAGCCACAACGGCCATCGACACAGGACAAGATTAAAGTGCCCAACTGAATGCGCAAGCACAGGTACATTCTCTATTCCCTCACTCTCATAGTCCAATGGGACGGTAAAACACACGACTGGAGAGAGATCAGGCACAAGAGGAACGGCTTTAAGTACTTTCCGAGGCACGGGGGTGAGACACTGCCAACTTCCTGACTCCGGGCGGCTACTAAGAATTTCTAGACAGAAAAACTAAATAACATAACATAACACTCACGCCTGTCACCCAGAGGGGTAGGCAGAGACTACAGACTTCCATTTGACACGATCCTGACACACCTCTCGCCTCCTTCACATCCATACACCTACGCATACATGCTCGTCGGTTAAGGGTACTCCTAATTTGGCCTGTTTTCAATAAATCGCCAATTTGATCGATAAATTTTCGCCTAGGACGTCCCTTTCCGACTCTGCCATTCACTTCTGCAACATAAATTTTCTTTGTCACTCTTTCCTCATTCATTCTTTCCACATGACCAAACCACCGAAGCATTCCTTTCTTAATCCTGGTCACAACATCATCTTACAAACCACACTCTTATTACACAATTTTTTACCCTGTCGTTCAGATTCAGCCCCAACATACTCCTTAACGACCGCATTTCTACTGCGTTGATTCTATTCTCGTTCTTCTTCTGCCACACCCAACTTTCACTACCATACGTAAAAACTAAATAAGTAACTGATAAAATTTGGGCCCGTCCCGGGATTTGAACCGGGACCTCACAATCAACAGTCGCGTTTACAATCACTAAACCAACAAGGTAGTTATATAATCGTGATGTTGTTATAATTTTTAAATATAGATACTTATTGCCATGTGTTGTGGGATTAGTTTGAAATTTTTATTCTTGACGGCGATACCCAAGTAAGATTTATTTGATGCCGAGATTAACTATTTCTAGTACTTTAGTGAATGTTTAGATGTTTAAATACGAAAATACATATTATATCACATGCACGCATGCAAAGAATTGTGTATTTATATTTTCTAATTAACCGTGTTTAAATAAATTCTTATTTTTCTTACGTTTTAACGAATTCTGAGGTTATATAGATAATAAAATTAACCACAATTAAGAGTACCTAAATATATGAAATATATAAATGTAAGGAAAAAGATATATTTATTATCAGCAACCCTATAGATTAGAGAGCTGGCGATATGCCAACTAGCGCCAGACATACTCAAATAGTACACGGACACACACAATAATCTGCATAATATTTACACTCTTACCATTATTTCAGTCTAATTTGAATACATTTGAATGTTATTTTTAAACGTGGGGGATTCAAATAAAAGCGAGAACACGGTACACTCTTTGAAATTTAAAAAAGTGAAACTGGCTGGTATAGCTGGAATATCTGTTAGATATGTAAGAAGCTGTCCAGTTGTATGACGTAAATGGTTTGTTACTTTAGTTTATACTTTCTTGCAATGTTACAAAATGTACGCAGAATATTAATAACATGTTAAGAAAAAAATTGGGTTTAAATATAAATCCAGTAATAATTAAATATGTTTACCTCGTTTGTGTCGCCTTTCATCGCTACTCCTTCTCTCTTTTTCTTTCCTAAGAAAAGCTTTCTTTACAGTATCTTTTTCATTGCGCAAAGTCTGAGAGTCCCAAGTGCCGGATCTTACACGTTTTGGTTCTTTAATTTTTTCTCCTTTATCTTCTTTTGCCAGTGTAGCCGTTTCAAATACTGAAGGCTTAGTTTCGTCTTTCGATAGTTTATCCTATACAAATAATTATAATTGAAAACAAAATAGAGAAATGTTATTTAACAAGACCTACATATTTATGAGCTTGCGCTTCGAGATAGCGCCATACCGATAATATTATGTTGTGATGTTACATTGCAAAATCCCTTAACTATTTTTGAATGTTAGAGTTATGAAAGAACTCATAATATATATAATTAATCCTTAGAGGTGATATCGCGTCTACATTTTGATTTGTTGTTGGATACAGGATAAATGTAGGCGGGTATGATCCACAGCATCCATTTTTACCACTATGATCACTGCACTGTTTACTCCTTTGTAATTCTTTTTCTACCAGGGGAGGGGTGAGGCAAAAATTTCGAGGAATGGAGGGGTTAGAGAAGGGATGGGGATTTTATTTTACTGTCACTTCTTAGCGGCTCAATACATCTATAAAATACAAAGTTTAAGCCAGATCGTTTCATTAACCTTTAAGATATCACAGGAACAGGTCAATCGGGAAGTGAACAGTATCTATGGAGAAAATTTAGTTTAGTAGCAAAGAAAACACCACACATTATTATGGAAGACATGCAATTTTCTTTTCTACCCTTTCCCCTAGAAAAACGATGATTTATAAGTGACATAGTCTTTTCAAGCAAGGTAGAGACTCAATTGAAGGCGATCAGCTCACATGCCGACCGATTAAGGTGGTTTCGTCAACATTGTCAGAAAAGTTGAAAAACTTGTTCTTGAAGATGCTCGTCTGAAGAAAAAACAGACCGCAGACAGGACTGAAGTATCGTCTACGACCGTTTCACACATTCTCGATGACCATCTTGGCATGTCTAAGGCCAGTGCAAGACGATTGCCAAGAATGCCCACAAATCTACACACACAGAAGCGGGCATTTTTTTTTCTAAGGGGTAAATAAGTTATTTGAACGGTCTGAGAAGTATATTAGGGTTAATGGAGAGTATATCGAAAAGGAAAATAAATTTCATGTTTATTTTCATCCCCTTTCATTAAATTCCATGAACTTTTGACCTTATCTCGTACATAAAATAAAAACTTTTTTTTAATAGAATAGGGTGACAAACGAGCACACAGTCCACCTGATGGTAAGTGGTTGCCGCGACCCATAGACATCTACATCCTCGATTACAAATCAAAATGCAGATGCGTTGTCAACCGTGAGGACTAAGATGGAATGCCTCGTTTCCAGTAAAAAGGGTCTCCGGTTCTCTACACTCACCATACGAAACACAGCAGCGTTAAGCTACTATTTCACGCTGGTATTCTGCGAGAGCGTGGTCCTTCCCCGGTCGAGCCAACCCATTCGTGCTACAACTATACTATTAAAAAAACTAAAGATTACCTGGCCAAACTTAGGTTTAGTTTAACCTGCCAAGCTTAGGTTAATGGTATCTCGTTTCGTACTAAGCCGGCGATAGGCTACCAAACTTAAATTTACCCGCAACCTATCGGCTAAAAATTGAATAGCAAAAGATTGTATTTTCTACCTTCGTTTCATCAATCCGCTTGACCCAAATATCTTCTGAGCTGGTGGGCAACCCATCTACAGTTGAACGGATTTCTATTAAACTGCTGTCAAAATAATTTTTATCACGATGGAGATTCTGCCCTGAAAAAATCGATCGCACACTTGGTCTTTGCTCTTCAGCTCCTTTAGTACCAAAATGTACCGTGTGAGCGTTATGCACTTGGGAGCGCAGAACTCTTTCCAGTGAAGCCGGCGGATGCTTTGCAGTTGTCACGAGAAATTTGTGTTTAGCTCCCATAATGGTACGTTTAGGAGGTTCCTGGTCATATGGTGGTACGTCATCAGTTGACAGTTGTTTTTTACTAACTAGATCGACTTGTTCATCATTTTCAACGACCAAATTACATTCTTTTTTAAGTACATCTATACTTTCTTGAGATGCATCCTCAGAACAAGCGACTGACGAAACCGTGGACGGTTGCGGGGCGCTTTCCTTTTTCTCATCCTCTTCATCTTCTTCACGACATTGAGATAATCGACGTCTTTCCGTAAAAGGAAAAGGAGAATTCGAATTACGACTTGAAAGATTGTTACAGTGATTCATGAAATAATGTTGGAAGAAACTATCTGTTTCAGGTGTATCATTGTTGTCACCCTGGATTATATCTTTAAGAGCTGCCAGGGATGTAATTGTGTTGTAATTTATAGCATTGACTAAGTCTTCACTATCTGTAGAGCTACCCGATCCGCTAGCAACTTCGTCAACAGCTAATTTACTAACTTGACGACAAACTTCGTCCAACGCCTTATCTGTATTTTCTGTCTCTATTTTTTTCTTCTCCTCATTTTTACGTCCGCTCTTGTTAACTTTAGCATTTGAATTCTTTTCCACTTTGGAATCCATTGAACAGCATTCGTCGCGATTGTTATATACAAATTAATTATTAAGCTGCAAACTAAATTATTTTATGTACAAATTATCACAGTCACATGTTATTGTTTTTATTCACCTTCGTTAAGTTATATCACAACAAATTTCATGGCTTCCGTCACCGAATAGAATACATTCCACTGCATTCGAATTGTATACACATTCCAACATACATTTCACTGATCTGAAATCTTCTTATATTTTAACGGTCACGTACCTCTATCGTTTTAACTACAACAAAGCACAAAGACAATATATAAAAAGAACAGGAGAAAATACAACATAAATATATTGCAACTTAAAACTCATATTTTGGTTTAGCCAAGTGTTACATGCCAAAATTAACTAAACAGTAGTTAATAAATCGTTTAACATTTCTAACTAACACTTCATACCCAAATTACACATAATATGATACAATAATTGAATATTCAACTTAAGTAGTTTTGCAGGATAAAGGAGGAAGTTACAAAAATATAATTTTTAAGATTATGGTGTAGGGTATCGAATACTAGCTCTCCGAAACACTTTTAAAAATATAAAAACATCATGTTGCTTTTATTTAATTTTAATAATATTTCCGAAAATAATATCTTAAAATTGCAGTTCCCCACCGTATCAACCATTAGTTGAGATAGTAATCAAGTACTGGCTTATAATAGTTAAAAAGACGTACTTCTCCGACACTTTGTAGTAATGCTTTCACTCGGTAACTTGTTTACAGTGTAAATATAAAACTTATTTACAACACGACCTCTTTTTTGGCATTAAGCCAACAAATGTTGTGCACATATGAGTCATGTATGTTCGTGAAAATAGAATATGTCAATAACTTTACCTCGGCGCCAACTATTAGATTATAGCATAGAATCTGCGCCGCATAGAATCATCATAGAACTCTCATCTCGACAAAACAAATATATTACGTGAATATGACTTCAATCAGTAGTTATTTAGAATTAACCGATCAGTAATAGATGTACACATCTGCAAATAAAATTATATATATATATATATATATATCTTCATCACGCTTCTTCAGCCTCTTTTTAGGACCTGAATAGTGCCCAAAACTTGGAAGCTAGTGTGTAGTTGTTAGCTCTGCAGGATTATGGTGCGTATATTCTACACACGCCTCATAGTATACCTATAACAGAATGTACCTATTCAGCAAACCCCAGGGTCTTTCTAACGTATACCACTCACATATGGTGTAGGAACCCTCCAAAACAGTGGAGAACCACTTATTCTTTTCCTTGATGTCTCGGAAGTCTTTGCTGCCTTTTAGACAAGCTTTCAGCGTACGGTTTACTCTGATCTGATCGATTTAGCCTAAGACTGAGTATGGAGAACTATTATATTATTATTTCCGAGTCGTCGTCAAGGTCTTGTCGTCAGAACCTATGACGACTAATCTATAATTTTACAGGCATCCGTTATCTCTCCTTAAGGGGAAATATAACCTCAAATGGCTTAGCAAGATCCTCCGTTATGCCGAAAGTATTGCAGCATTAATTTTGAAATAAATATATTGTAAAGTTGAGGATTAATGTTAAGGTTTATGTTAGACGAAAACACGATTCCGTAACGAAAAATCAATTACTCCAAACTAACAATAAACCGCTGTTATTCATAAAATACTTTAAATAAGATCATGAAACTTTGCATACTAAACTAACCATAAAGCAGTGCTTATGTATTTACTTTTTTAAAATATCATTATTTTCACTGTAAAAAGAAATTACCTAAACTATCGGCGCGAAGCTTGGTTCCTGCAGGAACCAAGCTTGCCACTACGACCGCCGATAGTTACGCGCCGATAGTTTAGGTAATTTCTTTTTACAGTGAAAATAAAGATATTTTAAAAAAAGTAAATAACATAAGCACTGCTTTATGGTTAGTTCAGTTAGTATGCAAAGTTTCATGATCTTATTTAAATTATTTTATGAATAACAGCGGTTTATTGTTCAGTTTGGAGGTAACTTTGGATTTTTTTTCTATCGAGAAAATTTTACGGAATCGTGTTTTCGTCTAACATAAACCTTAACATTAATCCTCAACTTTACCATATATTTATTTCAAAATTAATGCTGCAATACTTTCGGCATAACGGAGGATCTTGCTAAGCCATTTGAGGTTATATTTCCCCTTAACAGTCAATACGCTAGGTTGTGATTAGGAGCACGTGGAACCATCCTAATAGGTAGCAAAGTATAAATAGCTTTATCCCGTGATCCTGACATTATTCAATTTCTTTTCGGTACTTAAGAGCCATAAACAGTAAACAATATAAATGTTGGCACCTATTTAGGTTTTGTTATCGAATTAAGCAGGGCATATTATATTCCCACGTACGTGAAATCCCAATTAATGACCAGAGTCAATAATTATCACAAAAATTTTTCTACAGCTTTCACAAACGTTCTCGTAGTTTAATAAAATTTTACTGAAATTCAGTGATTTTAAATAATAGTTTGGTTAGCTAGATAGTAATATTTGCGCAACAGTCAATGCAATCTTAATAGTTGGAACAATACAAGCTTTTAATACGTACAAAAATCCAATATGTAAGTACGTAACTGTTTCAAATGCATATGCGAATGCTTTTTGTCCCATTCTTAAAAACAACTGTATGTGAATCTGTGTGCTACTCTGGGTAGGACAAGTTACTATTGATAGACAACGCAAAACCCACCCAAAACATGCCAAATCCTCATTCCAAATTATATCAATCAGCTTAACCTGCTAGTGGCAAACGGAACTAACTACATTATATATACGAACTATATACTGACACCAAATGATACGTCCGGTATCCGTAGACCTCACAACGTACTTATATAAACCACGTTTCCATCCGTTTCCATCAGTCCAAACGTCATAGAACCGCCTCAAAACTACAGCACACAAACACAGTTAGGACAATGTCTCCAACGCGCCTTGCCTCCATACGCCGTTCACCCGTGTCCCTGGGCGGTTCGCACCACCCCGAATATCGAGCGACACGAGGAGCCGGAGTCAGCACATCTCTGCTCGAACGGCGATTAAATATTCCTAAGTAACTCACCAAACGATCATCATCATCACCCAGATGAAGCTGTAGATGCAAAAAAATAACATTGTTAGAGAACTAGACGAAATTAATATCTAAATCACAGAGTCACCGCCGGCACTGATGATGTGAAAATTATGAAAGAATGTAGTCTGTCTGCTACAGCAAACACAGATTTGATCGTTGCACTACTCAGGTTAAAACCATGATATATAGAGCATAATGAAAAAAAATATTTTTATGTCAGATACATGCAAAAACATCAGAATCAGCGCGAATATACATAGAACTCGAGCATTCTGTGATCTGACTGGGCATTCGCGCTACTTGCAGTGTCTCAAATGTTTACGAATGCTAGAATAGATGATATCGATTTAATAATATTAATGACAAGAACACCCTAGATACTGATTGTCTTTTAATGGAGCATTAGGCCAGTAAACACATTATATAGGTATTATATATTTTTTAAATCTATATTATTTTTATTTCTAGAGTACTTAATAATAGTGAAGGATACTCAAGTATTTTTAGTTTATTGTATATAGCCTTTCATTTTATTTTAAAAGCATAAAGATTTTATTTCTCAGAAATAGAGTACTAATTAGGTATTATATCACCTTAACTCCTGTTTTAAAAATAAATATTATTTGACTTAAAAAACAAATGAAGAAAAATACCTACTTATTCTGCAGTTTAAAAATATTCAAATTTGATGCCATTAAGTGTACATACTTTTAGTGTCTTTTAATTTTAAAATAAACTTCTGACTTTCAATATAATGTAATCATGTCAGAAACTGATTTGTCTGCTTGCATTTGAATTGAAAATAACAGCACCAAGCGCATTTTTAATTACAATGACACGATGTAATGAATCCCCAAGATAATTATTAAGATAACATTGATGCGTATGAAGCCAAGATAATAGTGATATGGTCAATATTAATACGGAACGAGCTTATCAACCGATGCACTCTAATGATAAGAGAAACAAGGCCAAAATAAATGATAAGAAATTTTAAACGATATCAGCGTAATAATAAAACGGTCTATCCTAATGATATAAAACCAAATAGTTTAAACCCGTAACATTCATTGCTATGCAGATGACAGCACTGGTGATGCTCTTTACACCGGCCGAGCCAATATTTCTCGAGAAAACGTCTCCGAGTGCCGGGACAAACTTGTGTCTGAAGTCGAGTCTTTGCTGAACAGAGTCTCGGATTGGGGGCGACTGAAATCTAGTCCAGTTTAACCCCCAGAAGACACAAGTTTGCGCGTTAACCGCTAAAAAGAATCCCTTTGTCGTATCTCCTCAGTTTCAAGGCACTCACCCTTGTTGCCTCAGCCAGTATCGGAATCCTCGGCGTTGACATATCGAGTGACGTGCAGTTTCGTGGTCACTTGGAAGAGAAGGCCAAATTGGCCTCTAAAAAGCTTGGCGTGCTCAACAGAGCGGGACAGTATTTCATGCCGGCACACCGCCTGCGACTTTACAAGGCGCAGGTTCGGCCGCACATGGAATACTGTTCCCATCTCTGGGCTGGGGCTCCCCAGTACCAGCTCCTTCCACTTGACCGCATCCAGCGCAGAGCGGCTCGAATTGTCGACGACCGAGTGCTTTCCGATCGGCTCGATTCACTGGCACTGCGAAGAGATGTTGCATCTCTTTGCATTTTATTTCGCATATATCATGGAGAGTGCTCTGAGGATTAATCCCAGCCGCCAAATTTCGTGAACGCACTACGCGGCAAACGTCCCGATACCATCCACACCATCTGGATGCTTGGCGGTCCACCACAGACGTTTCAAAAGGAGTTTTCTTTCGCGTACAACCTCTCTGTGGAATAGTTTACCACCGGCGATTTTTCCGTACCGATCCGACCTGGGCACCTTCAAGAAAAGAGCTTACTCCTTTC